AAGTGAAGGGTGCATTGTGTGGCCCATTCCCCTAATATTTATACCTCGGCCCTCGGCCTTCGTCCTGCACTGCAGAAAAACATCACCAATGTCAGGAACACAGAAAACACACCCACTCACGCAGAAACATTTGTATATACTCAGCAGGGGGGGGAAATGATTTTTCAGCCCCAGTTTGCACTTAAAGGTAAAAAACTAATTAAAAATCATTCATTGGTCAGACCTGTGTTTTGTATAGCACCTTGACAACTGGGCCTTTTGGCTGTTCCTGTCTGGGCTCTGTGACGTCAAAGGGAAATTAGGATTCAGACGTATTGTATAGCTCACGCAGTTTATCCTATTTCAGACAGCAACACATCAGAGAATGGCTTACTGTTTTTTATAGGAAATCCCAATACAGCTTTGTTGCTTTGATTTTGAAAGTGAATGCATTTTTTATGTATGTGCTTGTGTGTATGAGAGTGGATGTGGTGGAACACACCTTTGTGAGAGATGTGAGTCTGCTAGCCATGAAAGATGTAAGCTCACATTGAAAAAACGAATACGCAGAGAAATCAAAACCTTTGCTAGCAAAGCTGTAAATGCAACACAGACTTTTTTATTTTTACCAAGCTTTACACGTCCAGGAATGAAGCTAAGCCGTTGTGTGATAGGGGAGCGTTTTGATAAACAAAAGCAGATCATTTTGACTTTTCTCCTCAGCTCTGGATGAAGCCCACGTTTCTCATCTTTGTACATCTTTGAACGAGTTTATGATTATGGAGGAGCAGACAACAACTCGGTCAATGAAAGGGACTATGACAGGAAGTGATTTATTCATGTAGGTAAGTGCATGCTTGGAAATGGGACAAAATTGGCAGGTGTTACAATCGATGGCTGTCCAAATCTTACAGGGAAAAATGGCGGCTTTTTGAAGCAGATCCAAGATAAAACGACTGAAAGAATCCAGAACTGGAGTTGGTATTTTTGCAGTGTATTGCACACCAGGAGGTGTTCTGTAACTTCATGCTAAAAATGAACCATGTTGTAACTAAAATAATGACCTTAAGGGCAACAGCACTGCATCACAGACAGTTTGTTGCACTTTTGGAGGAGCATGACCCTGAACATGGTGACTCTGGGCTCTGGGCCAAGTGCTAAAGAAATGTTTTTAATATATGAAGTTCACATTTTCATTGCTTAATTGTAACATCTGTTCTTACTAACAGGAGTTTAGAAATTCACTAGGCCTCCACGGCAGTCCCAGTTTCTCATGTGGCCCTTGGGAAAATTGCCTGCCCCATCAAGGGCACATCAAGTAAAAGAATATCTTTAGTAAGAATGCTGTTCTGGCTCCATGTGGTGATGTGAAGTCACCATGTGCCAACATTATTTTCATTATTATTTTCTCCTGTATGCACGTTAATATACACTCAACAAAAATATAAACGCAACACCTTTGTTACTGCTCCCATTCCCCATGGGATGGACGTAGAGACCTAAAATTCATTCCAGATACACAATATAACCATCCCTCCCAAACAGTGGTCACAAATCAGTCCAAATGTGTGGTAGTGGGCACATCTGCTATATTGAGATAATCCATCCCACCTCACAGGTGTGCCACATCAGGATGCTGATCTGACATCATGAGTAGTGCACAGGTGTACCTCAGACTGCCCACAACAAAAGGCCACCCTGGAATGTGCAGTTTTGTCTCACAGCAAAATGCCACAGATGCCACAAGCAATGAGGGAGCGTGCAATTGGCATGCTGACAGCAGGAATGTCAACCAGATCTGTCGCCCGTGCATTGAATGTTCATTTCTCAACCATAAGCCGTCTCCACAGGCGTTTCAGAGAATATGGCAGCACATCCAACCGGCCTCACAACCGCAGACCTCGTGTAACCACACCAGCCCAGGACCTCCACATCCAGCAGGTTCACCTCCAAGATCGTCTGAGACCAGCCACCCAGACAGCTGCTGGAACAATTGGTTTGCACAACCAAACAATTTCTGCACAAACTGTCAGAAACCGTCTCAGGGACGCTCAACTGCATGCCCGTCGTCCTCATCGGGGTCTTGACCTGACTCCAGCTCGTCGCCGTAACAGACTTGTGTGGGCAAATGCTCACATTCGATGGCGTCTGGCACGTTGGAGAGGTGTGCGCTTCACGGATGAATCATGGTTCACATTGTTCAGGGCAGATGGCAGCTGAGAATGTCCCAGTTCTTGCATGGCCAGCATACTCACCGGACATGTCACCCATTGAGCATGTTCGGGATGTGCTTGACCGGCGTATACGACAGCGTGTACCAGTTCCCACGAATATCCAACAACCTCGCACAGCCATTGAAGTGGAGTGGACCAACATTCCACAGGCCACAATTGACAATCTGATAGACTCCATGCGACGATGTGTTGCACTGCATGAGGCAAATGGTGGTCACACCAGATACTGACCGGTTCTGGGTCCCCAGACCCCCAATAGCGCAAAAAACTGCACATTCCAGGGTGGCCTTTTGTTGTGGGCAGTCTGAGGTACACCTGTGCACTACTCATGATGTCAGATCAGCATCCTGATGTGGCACACCTGTGAGGTGGGATGGATTATCTCAATATGGCAGATGTGCCCACTACCACACATTTGGACTGATTTGTGACCACTGTTTGGGAGGGATGGTTATATTGTGTATCTGGAATGAATTTTAGGTCTCTACGTCCATCCCATGGGGAATGGGAGCAGTAACAAAGGTGTTGCGTTTATATTTTTGTTGAGTGTATAAGCCAAGTGTATGCCTATAAAGTTTGACTGGGAATGGGCCTGTGACAATAAAAACTTAGCTGTTTTAAATGTTTGGATCTTACATGGAAGATCAGATGTCTTTGCACTTCTAGGGCATTTTCACTGTGGTCACTACTGTTTTTAGATCACTGTGTAAAAGTCATGCCGTCTCTCCTTTCTATGACTGATTGATTGAATCTTTATTTTGAACATGTTGAAAAATTACAACAACATAGAATTAAAAACAGATAAACAAACAAAACAAAAGGAAAACGAGCAACCAAAACTACAAATAACTTTCATGTTCAAAAAGGAGCAGGAAGCAGCATAAGCTTATTTAATCCCACCCCCTTTCCAGTAATCTAGTAATCAATAGGCTACAGAAATACCTCCTTACAATTACATTATATGTTACGTGTATTTTTTATTTATTTATTAATTATATGTATATCTATCTATTTTTCTAGCTATCCATCCATGATCCATGATGCATGAAGGGTCTCCTGTAGTGTGCCAAAACATGCTTCAACTTCACTTTCATTTTCAGCAAGTTGATGAATTTAAAGAGAGCCTCACCTCTGGGCAGCACGCTAGGTAAACAAGAGAGTCACAGCCTCTGTGCATGACACGATTATTGTAGGGAGATTTCCTCTCTGTGACATAACTCCCATATTGCTATGTTGTAGCAATATGGGAGTTTTGCCACATGAAGAATAGAAGACAAAAAGAAGATATTTGGGGTCAGCTTATCGCAACACCTTATTTGCACTTTTGTTCTCATTGAACAGCCAGTCCTGTTCTCCCATAGACTCACTGCAGGTGATTAGAACGGTGCAGCTTTACCACCACAGCTGTCTGCAGCTGTTAAACAGTGTTACAGCCACCGGGGATCAAAGGGGTGCGATCCTACTGGAAGTGCGCACGGTGGCATGAGTCTATGAGAGGACTTATGACTGATCTGTAGACAGAGGTCTCAACCAACAGCCAGGTCTGATCGCAATAAAATGCACCATCGCTCACTCATCCCTGCCAGTCTTTGTTAGGGACATGGTTTTGACAGTGTGTGTGTGTGTGTGTGTGTGTGTGTGTGTGTGTGTGTGTGTGTGTTGGGGGAGGAGGAGGCAGAAGGACAAGTGGGAGGGAAGGTAGGAGGAGGTGGGGGGCCCATCTGCCACTGAGCCTGCTGGGTCAAAAGGCCTTTGTTGTGAAGGAGTGATGAGACAGATAGATGGTCTTTGTCACCAACTGCTGGTTTAATCAAGTGAGAGTGTCCCAGCATGTAACATTTAGTCGTACTCCACCGCCACGCACACAACCACAACCACCCACAGTCAAACATAATGATTCTTCACCTTCAATTAACAACTGAGTGTCTGACAGAACGCAGTGGTTACAGCAGAAATCAATTAAAAGATTACGAAAAGAAAAATGAGATGAACAAGTGCAAAGAACATTTCTGGATGTCTCTGTGCTTCACTATATTTTATTTTGTGTCGTATCTCAGTTATTTATATTTTTATTTTTTTAAAGGAACTTTTAAACAGTGGCAGCCTTTTATCCCCCACTGTCTCCCTCAAGCCAAATTCAATTGAAAATCCTTGCCATGCCAGATATGTGCGCATGTGCGCTTCATAATTACAGCAGCTGCGTCAAGCGGGAATGGAAGCGGAAGTCAGAACTGCCCTTCAAATTAAAACCAGACACTATAAATGGAATTTTAAAAGAGAGAAATAATAAATTCAGCAAAACACAGCTTTGCCAGAATAAGAAGAGATAATATTATTTGAATCAGAAGATATTATGATTTCAAAATCATTTTTAAATATCATTTTTTAGGCTTAAAATGAACCCTTACACTTTAGAATTGAACATGTAATAACAAAAAAATCAACACTGGTGCAGATCTATCCTCTAGTGCTGAATCAGTCCAAGGTTTTTTCATGGAAAATCAAAGGAACTTAAGTTAGTTAGCGCATCTGCGTATTGGTGAAACATGTCATTTACAGTGAGAAACCAAAAGGTTACCATTCCAGGAAAAAGAGTTTCTGAAGAACAAGAAACAAAAGCATCAAAACACCGGAAATGATGCTTTTTTCTCTTTTGTTGCATTTTGTGGACCTTCTTGGTTTATAAATAGGAAAAGAAATGTGCAAATAAGACCATAAACGCTTATAAAAAAAACCATTTGATTCATATTTGACATTTTACCTTGTACAGTGGAGCCGGAAGTACTCTCCTGGCATCAGCTGTGACTTGACGCAGGCTGCTGGGGCGCCAGGCAGCAGCAGTAGCTGTCCCGTCATCAGCTCACACCCAACGGGGCTGCAGCGCACCGCTCCTCCGGCGTGAACATCATGACACCCCGATTCAAAACCGCAATCTGAGCCGCACTGAGGGAATCGGCGGAGGACTGTTAGCAACGGACGTGGATACACACTCACACTCATGCACATATTCATACACATTAACAGGCGCACACACAGGATCGCTAAAATTGCAGCGGCCACCAGCAGCACAGCACAGACTGGAGCTGTGACCGAGGCGAACTCCACTGCTCCGTGGAATTGCTCTCTTCGCCCCAGAGACGCGTCCCGCTCGGACCCCTGCTAAAGAAATCCCTCCCCGCGAGTCGTTTCACGCCAAAAATGTCTTCTTCGGGCAAGGACGCCAACAGCGGGCATTACGCCAACTATGTGGGACCGTACCGCCTGGAGAAGACGCTGGGCAAAGGACAGACAGGTTAGTGAAAGCTCCCACATCACGCGTGGGTGCTGTGAGGACCGCGCTCGGCGTCACCGCACCTGCCCCGCTGACATCATGCCGGGTGATGCAGTTTTGCGTCCTGCGTGTCCCGAATGCGGGAAATGGGAGGAAACGTGTGCTAGTTGCGGATGTTTCTGGTGGATGCGGGGAGAGAGCTGCTGCTCTCTTCTGATCATAATGGTGGTGGTGATTGTGGTGTTGGTGGCGGTGCGCCTTTAATCCTTGTTGTCAGGCAGAGAGGGCTGATGATGATGATGATGATGATGATGATGATGATGGGCCCCTCTGATTTTTCTTGTCTCTAATTCCGTTCCAGCATCCATCTGTCACATGGGCCCGCTGTGCTGAGGCTGCTCTCTGCAGGAGAGGCAGAGCGGTGATGCTGCACTGTCCGGTCCCTGCTCTCTCTCCCTCACTCTCTCTCTGTCACACACACACATACCGCAGCTGCAACGCAACACATCCCTGCATTGGCTGGTGCAGCGTACGTATCATCGGCTTATTGCACTGAGGTCCTGCTGCTCTGTACATAGAATGTGTTCAGTATGGAGAACAGCAGTGGGTGATGATCACTCTTTGCTCCTGCAAAGTATCATTTTCAGCTGCACGTATGAGTCATTTTGGTGGACTGGACTGTTTCAGGGCTTCGGTGCTTTGGCCATTTTGGAGACTGCAGTTCGAGGCAACGCTGCGAATGATCTGGAAGTGTTTATTATTTAATCTTTAGTTTATAGCTAAAAGAGCCTAAATGGGATGGACACTGAAAATATTGTTCAGGTATCCCCGTCAAGCTGCCAGGTGATGTCATCACAGCCATATTAATGAGACATCAGGCAGAAGGCTGATTTTCATCTGCAGCTCAAAGTCACTGCACTGTGTTGTCACTGCATCAGAATCGCCTCTCAGGTACTGTGACAGTAATGTGGCTGCTCTGGCCTGGTTCCCTGTTTCGGATGCCCCACCATCTGTGATCATATGCGTCTAGAAACTATAAAGGTTCTCCCTCCAGTTCCTGCAGGTAGACCCGATGCACTGCTCAGTTCCCTCAGGGGGGTGAATAATTCATAAGCAGCCAATTAGCTGCTTGCTGGAGTTGGATTGTAACAGCCCCACATTGCTGCTGTATTACTCACAGAATTCTCCTGTTTAGCAGATGGGATAAAGCTGCAAGAGCAATTTGTCACACAAAGCAACCCAGATAATTTGATTTGTTCGTGAACAAAGAACTTGGAGGCGACTAAAGTTCCAAATTGTATATTAGTTCTATTTATAGTAGGAGTCGACTTTGCGTGTAAGAGCTTTCCTTCTATTGAAAGCGGACAACCTCATTCTTTTCCATTCCTTCTCTCTGTGGCACCGGCAGTATAATAGCTGCTGTTCAGCGCGACTAAGAAGGCGTGATGTCATCACATCCGTTCTTGTTGTGATGGCTGTATTTCAGTGTTGCACATATGCTGAAACAGGATGGGGACGTCTGCTGCCCAGGTATATCAAGGATACTTATAGCCCAAGCGTTCTTGTGGCTCATTTTTCAATCCACTTGCTCTTATTTTGAAGGTTCTGGATGCTGAGAAGCTTGCTGTTGTCCTATCAGAGGTAGCTACCTCTGTACACCACCTCCATCATCTTGGACTTCAGCTTGGCTCAGCAGTCTTTCTTCTGTTGTGGAGCTCACTGCGAGCTGGAGGAGTCTCTCTCACCAGACCCTGAACTCGCTGAACTCACAGAGGCTGCAGATGGTTGAGTCGGACTTCGTCGCCACGCTGGAGCAGTGGCTGTTTATTGCTCCATTGTTTATTGTCACTCTGCAGTATTACTTAATGATTTATTTAAGGAAGTTCTGGTGCGCCTCCTTTCACATGTGCATGCGCTCTTCCTGCTGCCACAAATAGAATCTAATTATGTGGAAACACTGCTCTTCACAGGCAAAAACAGCACTGAGATGTTCTGCATTTCTGAAGTTTTCTAGACATTACCTGCAAAGCTTCATGTGAAAATGTCCAGCGCAGCAGGACATTAATGTGCCAGCTCCTGGTACAAAATCTGCACAATGCCCATTCGAGATATTGGAATGGCGAGGATAGCGGCGAGCTGAGTTTACAGCCAGCGGTTGGTGGTTCTGCACCACCTCAATCCAAGCAGAGTGTTTCCTGTTGTGACAGCTGAGGGGTGCTACGAGCAAGGTTCAGACAGCACTCTAACCTGATTCTGATGACATTTTTCACAGTTAACATGTGAAAACTTGCAAGAATCTACCCCTCAGGTTATCATGTCACTGACCTCTGAAAGAGGTACGATATCACAGACACATGTCGCCTTCTCTTTTCCTGTGCCATCATCTTCTCTGGCTTAAAAGAGCCACTACCAGTAGTGGTGCTGTCCAGTGCGTACATCAAGTGACCCTGTGAGTGCTTCTCTGTAACTGGATACAGTGGTTGAGTGCATATGCTTGTAGAAATGAAGATTCATGCAGGAGTGCATGTGTGTGCTGGCGTGGTGAAGCGACAGCACTGCAAGAAAGGCTCTTCGTATAAATCTAAAGTGCTGGTGCTGAGCTGGCAGATGGGGAAGTCCGCACATCATTAAACCTCCTACACAAGTGCAGAACAAGCCCACGCTTTTTGTTTGTCTGTTTGTGTGTGCTTCCCTCTCTGCAGAAGTGGCATACTCGCTGTGCAGAATTGCCATGTATCAGCTTTGTGGTATGATTCTGAAGATTAATTGGAAAGGACAGACGTACAACATAAGATGTGATTGTTTCCAACTAATAAATGAAAGTTTTTGGTGACAATGTAATTATCTAAAGCTTTAGGTCAGCACTGTTGTTTCACACCAAGGTGGTCCAGGGTTTGAATCCACACACCAACTGAGCCTCTTCTGTGTGGAGTTTCTATAATCTCCCCAGTTTCCTTCAGCAGTCCAGAGACATGCATGCTAGGTTAACTGCTGATTCTAATTTGGCTGTAGGTGTGACTATGAGCACGAGTGGTTGTCTCTGAACGGGTACAATAACATAAGTCCACCCGCATCACTGAGTTGGATAAACTGAAGCAAATGTTTGCATGGCTCTTTATATTTCACATGAGTTTATTTATATCAGGTCTGCTCGTAACAACAGTCGCCTAAAGGCGCTTTATAAGTAACTATTGTAGAGTTATAGCCGTACAGCTGATTATAAGCAAGCACTTGGTGACAGTGGAGCAAAAGAACTCCCTTTCAACAGGAAGTGAATGACAGAAGATGACAGAAAATGTGCACTCATCTCAAAGTCTCTTCACTTTTCCTTATAACCGATTAGCCAGAGTGGCAAACATCCTGCGATTCCATCCTGTCAAAGTTAGGATTCCCATCTTCATTATCGGAATGTTTTTGGATCGTTGGCCCGGTGAAACAAGGAGTTTGTTCGGAATCACCTCGTGCATCCTGTGGAAACCTGGCGTGGCTGTAGCTCTTGTATACTTTGTGTGTTTTTCTATGTGTATTTGTGTGCATGTGTCCACTGCTGCCAGGACACTTGCTCGTGGTTCAATGAGGGGAAACATGAACAAATAATAATTGAATTGTATTTCCCAGGATGCTCAAAGTGAAGCCTTTTCAGGCAAGATACTTCAGATACATCTAGAACATTCATTTATTCTTTTCTGTAGTCGGTTAGTGGAGGGGTTTCCCTGCTTTAGAGGCGTTTGTTGAAGGCTGTCCACCTGATTGGATGTGTGACACACTTGCCCAGAGCTGCAACAGGATGGCTTTTGTAGAAAGCCATTTATTTAGACATTTTACAGACTCAAACAGCAATCGTTTAACTGAACGGGCCTTTAATCGATTCATAGACCGTAACAGCCGTTGCTGTTGTTTAGTTGCTTGTCCTCTGGGCTGCTTTGCCGTCCTTTCTCATAGATGAGGAAAAACTGTGTTTTCACACTGATATGATGCAAAGTGCGTTGCTGTCTGTGCGACCACAGACGCTTCTTTGAACATTTAAAGTCTTCTTTTTTTCACTTTTGAAGCTCCCACTGTGATGAATGCTTTATTCCTGCACTTCTGGAGTTGGAACAATGCCTTCATGGTGTGTCTGCTGGTCAGAGCTCAGTGGCGAGAGGCTGTGCTGACTCTCAACAATTAGTCAGTCTGTTTTCATGTGTGTGCGGTGAAGTATTTCTCTTCTTACACTGGTTTCCCAGGCTCCACGCAGCGCTCATTTTCTAAGTGTTGGCCAACATTTGGCATGTTGTCATGGTTTCATCGCTCCTCCTGTGACAGTGGCTGTTCGTTTCCTTTTCACTGCAAGACTGAAAGCTGCCAGTCTTTTCTTTCCTCTCTCTAGACACACACACTGTATGCATATGTGTGTTTGGTAGCTCACTATCCTGTAAGTGCAGGAGTGACAGCAACAGTTATTTTTATTTGACCATAATGTTAAAATGATTTTCTGTGTACATGTTTCCCAGTTGTGTTATAATGAATGTCATGTGGATGTAAAGCATCCTAAGGACAGTAGTCCCTTGGGCCCTGTGTGTGTGTGTGTGTCTGTGTGGGAGTGGGGGTGTAAGAAGCAGGGACAGCCCCACCACAGATGGTTGCCTTTAGGTGGCTGAAATACAGCTTCATTATCAGCAGGTTGCAGGTGGTAACACTCCCATCACTCTCACTGCGTATGGATGCATTTGTGTGTGTGTGTGTGTGTGCGCGCATTGTGCTTAGATCATGAGAAATTACTGTGAGTGCTTTTTCTGGGTCTTCACTATATTTTATTAGACTTTGCTTCATTATTCTTTGTTGAATGTGAAACAACAGAGGTCTGTGCTGCCTCGTGTGCATACAGAGGGATGTCTTGATAGAATAATGCTAACAATTCTACACAGCGTTTTACAAAATTAATAAATGCAGTAAAACAGTCATGTAGGTGGAGAATTATCTATTAAAATGCACAAAGGAGAATAAAATCCACCACAAGTCGATGCTTATGTATAAAATTT